AGTATCCAAAAGCCCAGGCCGCGGTATTAAATTATTTTGCTTTATTGTTAATTATTGGCAACTATTAAAAATGTATTTAATTGGCTCGTATTGTACATCTTTACACGGGAATTGACATACAAAAGCATACGGGTGACACTCGCCGCCAGGTGTTCCGGCTGCCCGTTTATTCATTCCTACAAACTGCTGATGGTGATGTTCAAAAGTTGTATATATATACTAATCGGTGTGAGAACTTTTATAGCGCGATGTAGGATTAAAAGTTACTCTGTAGTTCCGCGTGGTTCCGTTAGATGGCACTGTTTGATGATTGCTTTAAACAACAGCTTGTGTTGTCATTTTGTAGTCATGTTAATTTTACTTAATATCGCTCTGTGTGTCAATTTGCGTGTATCGATATTTAATGACTACCCACAACAATAGGTATAATTTTATTTACAAAATAAATTAATTTAAAAACATATCATTGTTTGTTATACATTTTAGAAGCACATAGCCATATTATTTTATAAAAAAATATATATTGTTCTTAAAATTAGTGATGATTTTATAATAAACTTGTATCTAAGAATTGGTCGGCCATATTGATTTTACTTTTGGCAATTCAATATATAAATAACCAAAAAAAGCCGTGTGGTGTCGTGGGACACCCGATAGGAACGAAGTTGTGACGATAGAGTAAAACTGATTTGACACGATTTTAATTACAACGCCATCTATGAAAGCAGCTATTACCTACATATTAAAAACAATTAAAACAATTTATACATTGGTAAAATCTCCTTGCGAAATGATTTCTTATCTATTCGATAGATGGCGCTGAATGTCTGACAAGATGACACGAAAATAAAGAGCAAAAAGCCAACATCACGTAGTATTCCCAGGCGGTCACCCATCCAAGTACTAACCACGCCCGATGTTGCTTAACTTCGGTGATCGGACGAGAACCGGTGTATTCAACATGTTATGGACGTTGGCGAACGTTAAAGCAAATTTAATGTATGGTATCCACAGTTAGACGTCAATTTATATTAAAAGTGTCGTGACAAATTTTCGTACGAATTTTTTCCGTCTAGCCCCCTTTCACAACTCGCGATAAGGAACTTCGTTCCAAAAAAAATCCTTTTGCATACATTGATCGGTTTCGGCTTATTGCCGGGCGAAATTTAAATTTGGCCTGGTCTATTTTCTTCTTTAATAGGGCGCAGTTCTTCCCTTCTTTCTTCTCTAGAAACGTCACTCCTGATGGGTGTGTTGTTTTAAGAATTTTGATTCATATTTAACTGTTAAATACTTGACTGCCTCGGTGTTGCAGTGGTAGCGGATGCAACTGCTGTTCGATTCCTGGGTCGGATCATATTTTACGGTTTCTATGATCTGTAAATATTTGTTTCAGAGTTTGGCTGTTTTCTATGTATTTACAAAAAAAGTACATAAGTATTCTATTAGTTAATCTAGCTTTTATAGTAGAAGCTCTGCTTAGTTTGAAACTAGATGGCGTTGTGTGTCAGATGTCTGGAAATATTCATCACACATCACATCAACAGCCTTTAATAGTCCACTGCTGGACATAGGCCTCTCCTTAGAAAGGTATTGGCCTACTATACCACGCTGGCCAGGCGGGTTGGTATAGGGTTTGTGTCAAGTTTTCCTTCTTTTTGCAGTGCTGGTGTCCTGCTTTGTTTTGCGCCCTAAGTCGGCTCTTACGACACCCACGGGATGAATTGGGGTAGTGACATTCCGTATTCTTAATCCGTCACTACACGGACTGGAAATATTATTATTATTAATTCTTATGATATGGTCGATCCATAAGAGATTCTCTAACTTCGTTTATCATTCATAAATCATCATCATCATCATAATAATAGTCCACTGCTGGACATAGGCCTCTCCTTAGAAAGGAGGTTTTGGCTTACTATACCACGCTGGCCAAGCTAACCAGCTACCAAGCTTCTGACATTTATTTCTTACTCATTATTAAAATGTAAAGTGGTGTAAGTGACTTCACGGATGGCGTTTAAGCGGTCGCCACGCCGCTTCCTATTGCGTCGAGTGTTGTGGGTTCAAACCCCACATGGGACGACACTTTGTGTGATCCACAAATTGTTGTTCTAAGTCTTGGTGTTCTTTGTGTCCGTTTCATGCATGTTTGTAAAGTCCCCCGCGACACAGGATTTATTCCTAATGCGGGAGTTGTCTTTTTTTAAAACAAACAAAGTATATATTACAAATAAATAGAATCACTGAATCGTCGCATTGTGATTTGCGTGAGTATCATCCATTCGCCATCATTTCCCTATTGATGGTATTAACAAGTGAGTTTATGGAAGATTTTCCATTCATAATCACATCCCTGTTGTGTCTTCATTTATCAAGGACTTTAGATCTAAAAGCTTATAAATATAGAGGAAGCGAACAAGGCGTACGGTTAGTAGAGAGAGAAAAAGGGTTGTTTTAGTCTCTCTTGTCGCTGATTGGCTATTTTAAATGCACTCTTCAGTATCAGCCAATCAGTACAGAGAGCATAGAGTGATGAAAGACCAAAACAGTCTTCCTTCTCTGTCTAACGGCCGTACGCTATCACTAAGGGCGCACGGGGGTGCAAGAGCTGGGGTTGGAAGCTCTCCCTCATCCGCCATACTCACCAGACCTGGCACCTACCGACTATTACTTTTTCCAAAATTTAGACAACTTTTTAGTGGGTAAAAAATTCAATTCCCGAGAGGCAGTACAAAATGCCTTTGAAGAGTTTGTTGCCTCCCGTCAAGCTGATTTTTAAAAGAAGGGCATCAATAAACTGCCAATGCGTTGGCAAAGATGCGTCGATTGCACGGGTGATTACTTCGAATAACAGAAATAAAAAAGTTTGAAAAAATAAGTACTTTCACTTATTGCATACAAAACGGCAATTTCATAGGTAAAGACCTATTATTTTGGAAGATCTCTCAGAAAAGATCATTCATGAATTGTTTAAAATCTCAAGAGAAATTTTCGACGCACTTCACAGTTTAGTTCAAAGAGATATTGAGAAACAAAATACAAACATGCGTCAATGTATATCTTCAAAAGAAAGACTTGCAGTATGCTTAAGTTAAGAACATTGCACTTCTGTCTAAAAACTCAAACTTTGCTGTGGGAATAGAGTCCGCCTGTCTTTACAAGTAAAAAGCTATAACCCGGCAATCTCGTGCGCGACCGTCTCGCGGGGTGACAGACAGTGGCGGGGGCGAGGTAGCGCGTCATTCTAGCACACGGCTACACACGAAGAGAAGCGTTTCCCTTCCCCGCTACACCACCCGCTACCCGCTGACATCTTGAGTACCTCATCCCCGCCACCGTCTGTCACCCCGCAGGACGGTCGCGCACAACCGCCCTACCGCGAATAGTATGGCTAGCGATATTGTATCTTAAGATAAAATATTATAGTATCTTAGCCGTGTGTAGCGCCCTTTACAAACGAATATGTAGCTCGCTTCGTCCATTTATATTTTAGGTGCTTCATGTACTGTCGGGGCACCAGGGACTTCCTTTCTAGGGTATACCTGGTTCTTCGGCTATTAGTACCCGAGAAGGCGTGCGATTTTAGTCGGTTCGAGTCCAACATGCCACCGATATGGTAGTATCCGAGGGGATTTCCGCACGGAAAAAAAAAAAGGTGCTTCATGTACTCAGGATGAGTTGACAGTTGCTGACAGATGTCAGTCCGTGTGGTGACGGATTAAGAATACGGAATGTCACCACCCCTATTCATCCCGTGGGAGTCGTAAGAGCCGACTAAGAGAGCAAACTACGCAGTACAACAACACTGCAAAGGGAAGGAAAACTTGAAACAAACTATACCAACCCGTCTGGCCACCGTGGTATAGTAGGCCAAAACCTCCTTTCTAAGGAGAGGCCTATGTCCAGCAGTGGACTGTTAAAGGCTGTTGATGATGATGACAGATGTCTAAGCTGAGTTATGGGTGACGTGAAACTTGCCGCGGAGTTAGGTAGGACCAGGAAGCAAATAAAAAGAGATAGTAAATTAAATAAGTTATGGCGTACATTTCAAAATAATTATAACGTCTATATTGAATGTTACACATATTATAAAATGAAGACCGCGTCTGTCTGTCTGTATGAACGCGATAAACTCAAAAACTACTAAACGGATTTTCGTACTGTTGTACCAATAGATAGTGATTACTAAGAAAGGTTTAGGTGTATAATTCATGATGGTTTTATGTAAATTGACTGAAATATAGCGATTATTGTTGAAGAGGTCACGAGGTCAGGTGAGGACAGCATCCACGCGGGCAAAGTTGCGGGTGGAAGCTATCTAATAATAAATTAAAGTAGTTTAAGTCGGTGTGGCGACTCCCACATACAAAGAAACAGAAACGTACTAGAGCGTCATCTAATGAAGACACACCGAACTACGGAGTAACTACTAAAATAAGAATTGCTAATCCTGTATCGCGATATAAAGAATTCCCTCGCCGATTAGCATATATACAACTTCCCAACATCAACTGTTAGGCCGCGGCCCGCCAGGCATGATCACCTCGCCTGGTCGGAGGATCCTCCCTTTGTGTTGGAGGGACATGACACCCGTTCTTCCACATCGGCAAAACTTTATTCCGTCTATAGCTGTTATGCTCATGTCATTTTTGATATGGCTCCTCTAGCGTTCTAGTCGGTTTTAGAACTATTATTTACTGCTTTTGCTAGACTCTTTTTTTTTAAAAAGAACGCCTGCATTAGGAATATATCCTGTGTCGCGGGGGACTTTACAAACATACATGAAACGGACACAAAGAACACCCAGACTTAGAACAACAATTTGTGGATCACACAAAGTGTCGTCCCGTGTGCGGTTTGAACCCACAACACTCGGCGTTGTAGTAAGCGGCGTGGTGACCGCTTAAAAGTGCAGTCGATAAAATAAAATAATAATTTTTCGGTTTTGCTGTCGTTACTGCTCCTTACCCACTATAGTAAGACCTCAATAAATATTGTCACTCTTGCCCCTTGGACATTTTAATCTGTTGCGTGCAGTTCAGTTGCTGCTTCTGACCAGCATACCGCATGCGTTTCTCTTGATACAGTTCAGTCTCCATCTGAATCAATAATCAAACGAGCTTCCAGTAGCTACAATTCTGGGTCAGTTCGTTCTTTGCTAGTGCCAAGATTGTTTAACTGTTAGAACTTGCGACAACTTGACTTTTTAATGGTCTGACAACCTGGCGAAGGTCGCAAGAAATCCTTGGATGCGGGCAGCACAGGACCGGTTGTTGTAGCGAACTTGGAGGGAGGCCTATGTCCAGCAGTGAGGTCATTCAGCTGAGATGATGATGTTGATAGAATTCGCGGACTGGCATGCTTAGTGTTGTTGATACAGCTCTCATTCTGGACTAGTAACAGCCCTGGGAATAGGAAAATAAGTACGAAATCGCTAAAAAGGTACTCCAGTAAATTAACTTCCGTTATCAACGCTGTCTGTGTGATGTCTTGAAATATGTACACTCAGATATTTCCGCGTGTAAATACGAGAGCAATGCGGACACGCGATGCGAGAGTGTGCGTGTGCGCTGTAGCGGTGACGAGATAGAGCTCGTTGGGACTTGAAGACCTGGGAGCAGGTGTCGCACTGTGGAGAATGAAAATTGGATTAATTTCCTTCTGGATTTTGGTCAATTTCAGTGCAATAAACCAACTGGTCAGGATACTAAAATGTTTACAAGCATAACAATCTTAATAAACGTTTAATATACTTTTATTCCCCTCCTTCTTTTTCTTCCTGTCTTACAATCGGCATTCCTAGGTGAAGCAATTAATAAACATACACTCATCGCCTATATACTATATATGTAGAGGGATATTGGTTATACGGATGGAGTGGGGAGGGGTCGCAAAACTGGTTGATTCTACATAGTCTGAGCCTTCTAACAGAAAGCCACGCCTATTTATCCCATGGGTGTCGTAAGAGTCGACTAAGAGAGCAAACTACGCAGGACAACAGCACTACATAGAGAAGGAAAACTTGACACAAGCCCTATACCAACCCATCTGGCCTGGTATAGTAAGCCAGAACCTCCTTTCTAAGGGGAAGCCTATGTCCAGCGGTGGACTGTTAAAGGCTGTTGATGTGATGTGTCGTTTGTAATTTAAACATTATCTGGAGGGGTTAACAGGGTACTAGGAATTTCAATTACTAGTAAGCCTTTAAAAAAGAATAATAGTGTTGCGTTATAGGATTAAATGGTTCGATTGTATTGGATGTGGAGGACAGCCCCATCTAGTATCGACCAAGTACATCTATTAAGATTGTGGTTAATACAAGTAGTTCTGATCCTTACAGTGCTAGATGGCGCTGCAAGTAACGCGTGACTGATTCTGGTATATTCTTGTTTGTCTGGAACCGACTATCGAATACTAGGGATCTTTCTAGTAAAATTCAAAAGCGCTTTAAAATCGGAGCGTGTTGGCCATTCGAGACAGTATCGTTTTACGACACAGCGAATTAACATCGGAGTGAATTTCTAGTGCGACTAACAAGATATATAGTGATTTCTAGTTTATTATAGTGAGTGTTTGTAAATACAGTGCAATAAAGTAATTAACCGACAACTTTTATTATGTATGTAATGAAATGAATGACATTTCATTAATTTGAATTTCGCGCATCGAAGTGACATGTGAACTATGATTCAATGGCAGATGACGCTTAGATTATTTTGTGCATTTTATTGTTATAAAAACTTGTAGAGAGATAAACCGAAGGATACGATGTCGTTTCTTTGTATTTTCAGAGAAACAATTTATGGTTTATTTTGAAGATCCTCAATAATATACCTTATATGTATATACCCAGCTCGTAACAATACTAATGAATACGTAACAATACGTTTGTAATTTAAACACAAGCAATTTACTTTAGCTGGAGGGGTTAACGGAAATACTAGTAATTACGGTTGCTAGTAAGCCTTTAAAAAGGAAAAATAATAAAAATAGCCATGTAAACGTTGCTGCGGAGATGTTACCTGTACATTGGCAACTGGCCTATGGCTCTCAAGATGCTGCACAAGACATCGCCGGCTGTGGTAGGAGGACGCGCAAATGTCACAAACGTAGGGACGCTCGCCCGTGTGCATTCGACGCACGTGGAGCTACAAAAGCAAGAATATTTTTCATAAATAATAACCTCACACACAAGCGTCAGAACCTAAACTAGGCAGAGCCTGTACTATGGTAACTAGACTGCCAAAAAATATACTGAGATATTACTAAATACATATACAGACAACAAATGATTGTGGTCATCTTACAGTAATTTGGGTTGGTATAGGGTTTGTGTCAACTGAGTGTGGCCGCGGGTGGACGGGATGGGTTCTCCCCTCCACCCGCATTAGTTGGCCAGCCGCGAGGGGGCGGCGTCCGCGTGTGCCGGACGTCGCCTAAAGAGAGGGTCCACTGAGACGGAGCCCGCATCAGGAGCGGGCCGGCGCTGGGACCCCTCCAGAAGGCGATAACTACCTGGACCCCTCCTAAACTGGAAGCGCAAAGAGGGCACACCGTGTGGTTTTAGTCGGTTCGAGTCCGACACACCGCCCCGCCGAACGAGAGCCCCGACGGGGTGACGGTCCGAGGGGATTTCCACACGTAAAAAAGAAAAAAAAAAGGGTTTGTGTCAAGTTTTCGTTCTTTTTGAGGTACTGTTGTTCTGCATAGTTTTCTCCCTTAGTCGGCTCTTACGACACCCACGGGATGAATAGGGGTGGCGACACTCTGTATTCTTAATCCGTCACCACACGAATAGTTATTCTGTTGATTCCGTCAATAAGTCTCGTAAAGCTTGAAGGTTGATCGGTGAAATGTCGTCCGACCAGGCGAGGTGATTATGCCCAACGATTGATGTTGAAAATTTTCATTGCGCGATGTAGGATTATTAGGGTCTTCATAGTTCGGTGTGGCTTCGTTAGATGGCGTTAAATTATGTATTGGTTTCATTTTATGTGGAAGTCGTCACATCTATACTAATATTATAAGGCTGAAGAGTGTTTGTTCGGTTGAACGCTCTAATTTCACTAACTACTGGTTCCAATTGAAAATTTTTCTTTTAGTGTTGGATAGCCCATCCATTGAGGAACGATATAGACTTTATAACATCACGCTGCGACCAATAGGAACCGAGTATCAATGAAAAATGTTGAAAAAGGTGGCAAAGGACATCATTCAAAACGTACCCAAAAATTAAAGTGCCGGCCAGTAAAAAAAAACTGTGTCATCTTACGGCAAATGATCTTTTAAACATTTTTTATTATTACAACAAACGTCTACGACCAACTTTTAGACCCAAAATGGCTCTCCGAAAATCATAAAATGAGCATTTACATTTATGTATCAATTAACTATTTCTGAATAATTAAAAACCAAAACAACGCAAGACAATCGAAATGAGACCTGCGGAATTATAACATATGAATAAAGCCACGTAGGTAACGAAATGAAGTCTTTTTCTTTACATATATTTTATAACACTAATACCTACACATAAATACCTCAAAGGTACTTAGGTACCTAATGATGATTGTATATAATTAGGCTTTTTGTCATATTATATTATTATTAAGCGAGATTAGGTTATTCTTTATCATCATTATTTGATTTTTGTAGTGATGAAGTAAAAATTGTTCAAACGAACTCGTATAAATGCATTTTTTTATTATTTCTAAGTCATATAACTCATAAGTAATCGGCCTTAGCTCTTAGCCGTCTAAAGAAAAAAATCTAAGAATGTCATTCTCTAACCGATAAAACAATTTTTTTTCGTTGGTCGGCACTTTTTTTTGGGTACTTTTTGTATGGACCGTGAATGATGTCCTTTATTCCTTTTGAGAGACAGGTCTGCGGGTCAGATAGTGTATGACTAAGACAGCTATAATAATTTGACATTATTACTTATTCCGTTCACTCACCTTTAATTGCGCGTTGTCTAGAGCGAGATAGCTGCAATGTTTACATTTCAATTCCTTCTTCATGCCGTGATGAGATCTACAGTGTCTATTTAATTTGGTTGTAGATATAAAACTCTTACCGCAGAACTGAAAATATTATTACTTAATATTGCGTATATTTTTACTTTATATTTTTACTTACTTTAAAAATTACTTATTTTAAACGATTGTCCACCAAAGTGTAAATAAATAAACTCTACGCTTAGAGAGCCATGCTTTGGTACAAATGGGTGGGCTGGGCTCATCACATCATCACTTAAATAGTCCACTGCTGGACGTGGACCTCTCCTTAGACAGTAAGTTTTGGCCTACTAGACCACGCTGGCCAGACGGGTTGGTATAGGGTTTGTGTCAAGTCCCCCGGTCCAAGTGTCAAGTCGGATCCCTCCTATTACAGGCGCAGAGTGGCACACCGTGTGGTTTTAGTCGGTCCGAGTCCGACACACCACCCCGCCGCAAACCCCGGTGGGGTGACGGTCCGAGGGGATTTCCACACGTTAAAAAAAAAAAAAAAAAAAAGGGTTTGTGTCAAGTGTTTCTATTTCGTAGTTTGCTCTCTTAGTCGTCTCTTACGACAGCCACGGGATGAATAGGTTTGGTTACACTACGTATTCTTAATCCGTCACATCGGAAACATCGGGCGGGCGGGCTCGATCGGAGTTATACCACGACCTCATAGAGAACCGGTGTTGCTAAACCAACTGAAATTTATCCTAGTTGACACAAAATCCTCATAGCATATACCGCCTCAGGTGTCACCGGACGTCACTAACGGACTCGACAAAAGTCAAATCAAATCAAATCAAATCTTTATTTGCCAACCAAGTGTACATCAATGATCTTATAATATTATATGTAGTAGTCCCAACTTAGAAGCCTTTTCCAGGCATTGCAAAATTTGAGAGAGAACGCAGAAGAATAAATTGTTACACAAGTACAAGCATTTTTTGAACAATACAAATTAATTGACTCAATAGTACAGTATAACAATCGAACAAACCATGCAAAAATACGACCGATTTTTCTTTTTATGATTTGTAGTCTCTTGAGTTCTAAATAAATAAGTATATGTACCTTCCCTTTACTTCCCCTGTAAGCAAAAAGGTACTTACTTCATACACGAATTTAAATCCTAAATGCAGCTTCGCATGACTTAGGAAACAGGCCCATTTGCTAACAGTCACCTTGCAAATCTTACAAGTGACCGGCCCCTTTGGACCCAGCTCACCTTCCACCATATTCAAATAAATCTGGCGTTGTTCTTTTTTGGAGGGCTTTTTGACAGTTCTTTTAGTCGGCCATTTTGTTTCGGCGATGTTGGCATCTGAAGTATTAGACTCGTCCTTAGTTTCCGTAAAACTTTCATTTTCTTCACTAAAATCATTGCATTTATTTTCTTTATATGTTTTTTCTTGGATCAAATCTTCTTCTTTGATAATCGGGTCATGATTTCTTCTGTATCCGCGGTTTAATAGTTCTTGTTCGGAAAGATAACTTCGTTTTCTGAGTTCCAAAGCGGTGTCAACAGTATTGGTGCATATTTCGCATATGTGTTGTGGTAGGCCATCATTATTTTTAATCTATAAAAAAAAACTAATGTGTATAAAGTATGTTAGCATGTATGTGACGGAAAACGTAACGGATTAACATAATAATAACATAATAGGTTAAATCTTTTTTAGTGTTACTTTTTCTTCTAGTTCTTCTCTCCTTCCTCCTGTAAACTATTAATGCACCTACTTCACTCATTGCCAATGAGAGAATAAGAGAATGCTTTTAACAAACTCTGCCTTTAGGTAGGCACTTCTCCATAAAGTATTAAAATACAATAATAAATAATGCCTTCAGACTTTTAAAGAGCCTGAGAGTTAGTGTCCATATAATTTTATACATTATAAAACAGCAATAACTCTTCCGTTACTGACTTTGTGCGTCTTTTATTTAATTTAAAGGTACATACGAATGTGTATCGTAATGTTAAACATATAAAATTTTATATAAAAACTAATTTCCGAGTGAAATATGTCGAATCGTAAGAAATTATCTCTTAAAACCATATGTACAACAATCTAGAATTTATTTTACTATAGTTTCAGCACTTGCCTTTATTAACCTTGTCCATATTGTCCACTTAATAAAATTGACAATTGATATTACAAAATAAAACATAATATTAAATAAATAATTAAAAACTTACGGTCAAACCAGTTGTTACAAATAAATTGGAACTTCGTTCATCAATTAGTTCACTATTTTTAAACAATGGTGTTAAACTTTCTCGAGATAAACACAACCTGCACAATGTCTCATTCATTTTTATTAAAAACAATTAATTTGTTTACGCATTTATTAACAGTCGAGTATAGGCTGATAATTTGACAATTTATCTACATTTGACAGATCTTGGGATACCAGAGTAATATTTTAAAGTCCACTATAAATTGCGTACAGTATTGCTAGATTTAATAATACCATTCCAATAATTTACAAATTCAAACAATGAATTAACTATTAAATAATGTAGAAAGCTATAGAAATATTTATTTAATTATACAGTTTCAAGAAGAGGTAATATTGAAAATGGCGTTATGTTTTTTCTCATTCACTAGATGTTTTCAAAGTTTTACTGACAGTAAGAGCCATAGAGGCCATAGAGCCAATAGAGAGAGAGATCACGTGGTACAGCCGCCTGTAACTGGGAGCTATACAGGCAACGAGAGAGATCTATGTCCTCTGTCTTTATTTAGCTAAGCTGCGATTGGCTATCGTGAAGTTGGCATTGTTTTGATTGTAGAATAGGCGGGAGATTAGAAATTTTCCCAGCCAACCACAGAGCTCGGCTAGAAAGAGATAGAGTGAAATATTTATTATCCATCTCTCTCGTTACCTATATTACAAGATTGGGGCTAAGTGTAGGGAGGGTGGGGGGGATGACTAAGCCTCTGGTAACTTCACTCGCTCGGTGAAAATTAACCAAACAGTTTTTTTTTAAGGGATCACATCAGTAACCAGGTGATCTGGTAGAGAACCAAGGTTGTCGTTATACCTCACTGGATTAGCAAGCTAAAGTAGCAGTGAGCTGGCCATATTAGCCGCAGAACCGACAACCGTTGATGTAAACGAGTTCTTGAGTGGAGACTCGCGTTTCGGCAAACGTAGTATAGGACGCCCACAGGCCAGGTGGAGAGAGGATTTGCGCAAGATGGCTGACAGGAGTTGGATGAGAGAAGCCGAAAATCGATCGAAGTGGCATGCAATATTAGATGCCTAAGTCCAACAGTGGACTGCGATAGGCTGATGATGATGTTGAAAGGTTTAATAACCCGTTTTCTGTACGAGTATCACATCAGTACCGCAGCATGACTCTCTTGTAAAAATGATCAATAAATAAAACACTACGACAATAAAAGAATAATTTATTTAAAAATATTTTTAAACTAACATGTAGTGATTTAATTTTTAAGATCTTTGTGCTTACAAAATGGTGTTTAGCAATTAATTTATAAGTGAAGTCTTCTAATACTCGTCGTGGAATGGATAATCTGGATGGTGGGCACTGAAAAAAAAAAAAAACATTATGGACTGATATAGTAGCCCCACTGCTATAGCAATTAGGCTTATCAATGAGTTCCTTCAGAATAGTCCAGATGCAGATATATTTTTCGACTCCCAGAACATAATTTTAAAACATATTTATACATATCTAAATTTTAAAGAGTAATTTTATAGTTCCTAAGTTGATGTAAGGTTGTTTTTGTTTACAAATTTTATGTTGTTTCTTTTTGATGGTCTGAGTTTTACAATTGTAATAGTATTTAGTTTATTTTTGTTAAAATTAGCATAGATATAAGCGATTTGGTGTATACTGTGATGCTTATATTTTATTAATAAAGAATTGAATAGGCTATCTATAAAAGTTCGGTCACAATTCAGTTCCGATCAACTCTCGATCTCACAACTGTCATAAAAGGTATTTTCTTATTAAAGTATTAAACATCCAACGTTGACTGTAATGTGATTGTACGAGCTCGTACATGATTTGATGACTCTACACTTTACAAAGTATATATAGAATAATACACGTTTTATAACGTGTGTGCAATATCGATCGCTGGACTAAACACACGACGCGTAGTAGTATAAAATCGCTGATTAGGTAAATCTGTAATACTTATCTCAGTGGAAATAAATCGGGTTTTACGTTAACTATAACACACTCTTATTTCATCTGATCATCACCTACAACGTCCAAACTTCCACTGCTCCAACAGCTATCTGATGTCACTGTACAGTGATTATATCGTATTGTAACAGAAAATTGAATTAGTAATCTGCTAGTCTTAGCAATACTTTACTACAATAAAACTAGTTCAAAGTATAAAAGTTTGCTATGTATTGCGCCAAAAATTTATAATAAACTGCAATCCTACATTAAAAAATTTAATATTGACTTTTTTAAAAATAAATTTAAAAATATCTTGGTTGCGAAATGTTATTACAGTGTTCCTGAATTTATGAATGACAGAATTGTATAGTGTCCGACCGAAACTAGTTTTTACGACCGAAACCGAAACCGAAACCGAATTTCGGCAACGGTCTCAGTTTCGGCCGAAACCGAAACCGAAACCGAAACTTTCTTATAAGGATCATGTTTTCAGAGAAAAATAAAGAAAATGTATTATAATCAGTCAGTTTTAATTTTTTTTCTTTAAATCACATAGGTAGCTTTAATACTTATTTATTTATGTTGTTACCTAATATCACAATAGTTATAGGTGGATAGGTACTGAATATTTAAGTAATGATTTAATTTTTTTATGGTAAACTTGATTCTACTATAATCTAGGTACTCCTTTGTTTTATTAAATTACTTTTCGAGGTACTCTTATATTATATCACATGATAAAACCTACCGAATTCAAAACATATCATATGAAAACTCACAACAAACAAAATGCACTGCAAACAAACAGGTTACGACATGATTACGCACGTGGACGCGGCCAAATGTCATCGTCGCTTGGATGTCATTTACACACGAGCACAGCACGGAAACTCCCGAATGCAGTTTCGGTTTCGGTCGTAGTTTCGGCAGGTTTGCTGCCGAAACCGAAACATAACCGAAACTCGTTTTTTTGCCGAAACTCGACCGAAACCGAAACCGAAACCGAACATTCGGTCGGACACTATGAATTGTATAAAGGGAAATAATGGTTTTGACATGAAATTGCTGACATTTGTTTATTTAAATTTATTGAATCATAAATTGACTACGCAAATTTAACATACCTATATTTTTCTTTTATTATGTACAAGCTGACCCTGCAAACGTTGTTTTGCTATTTACATTATTTAATTATTTTTTTTTTAATTTCTTAAAATCCGTTCTTAGCTGACCTCTACTCGGTGAAAAGAATATTCCTACCAAATTTCAAGTCTTTAGCTCTAATGGTTCTAGAGATATCGTGATGAGTGACTATATACGTGGAAATCTCTTATATATAGATATAGATTATTGTAAAAACTAAAACAATTTTTTGCATGCCTTGAGGCAGAATGTGGCTGCTTATTGTTATACCTTTATTACACCTTAATATGTATACCCATGTTCGCAGAATAAATTATTTGATTTGATTTGATTTATGACAGTTGTGAGAACAGTTGACCGAACTTTTATTACGAGATTTGGCCTTCACTACTATGATTTGACTGTCAAATTAAATCAGACTGTTAGACGTCATTTAACATCACGTGTGTGCAAAAAGCACTGTGTGTCATCTACACTAATGTCAAAAGCTGAAAAGTTTGTTTGTTTGACCGCACTAATCTCAGTAACTACTGGTTCGAATTGAAAAATTCTATTAGTGTTTGATAGACGTTTTACTCTCGTCTCGTGGAGGATATAAAGAATCAAGATTATAGATAAATGTATAAAAGAAGATACAAAGTAAAGAGTATTTACTATGAGTTTCCAAAAATAGTTGAGTTTCGTATAAATTTACAACCCGGGTGGGGTTCATCAACAGCCTTTAATAGTCCACTGCTGGATATAAGCCTCTCCTTAGAAAGGAGGTTTTGGCCTACTATACCACGCTGGCCAGACGGGTTGGTATAGGGTTTGTGTCAAGTGTTCCTTCTCTCTGTAGTGCTGTTGTCCTGCGTAGTTTTTCCCTTAGTCGGCTCTTACGACACCCACGGGATGAATAGGGGTCGTGACACTCTGTATTCTTAATCCGTTAGGGGTTAGGGATGGACTTTTCAAAAATCCGTTCTTATTGCTCACCTACGTTACCTTAGGAACATTCGTGTAAAAATTCCAGACTTCTAGACAAAGCGGATTTCATGAAATAGGGCCTGATTAGGAATGGTGTCAATTCGGTGAGGACTTGAAATAACATGGTACGGGTCCTCCCCAGAGTAGGACACCTGAGGACGGCCGTCGGAATGGTTTCTAGTGGAATCACCACATACTCCTGGCTCCTAAGTCCCCGAGGAGCAGGAGATCCGAAGGGATTCTCCACCACGTTAACAAATTTAGATTTTTGTTGATCGAACAGTGAGTTATTCTGTTAGTTTCTTCTTTTATAGAAATAGGTAAGTAGGTATGATACTCGTATAACTCGTAACTCGTACAAACAAGAGGTAGATACGCCACCAAAGAACCAAACGCAAAGGTCCTAATTAGGACCACTGCAAACGAGCGCACGTACCAACTTCCTGTGTTTTCCGAAAGTGCACAAATTACGACAAAAAGGTTAATAAAGGTAAAGGAATATCATACCACAGGTAAGTGTATGTTTTGTTCTGGATTGCATTAATAGATTTATGTACGTTTACGGAACAAATATTTTGTGCGTGCAGTAATAACAATAAAATAAAATATAACGTATCTTCCTTAAAATATCATTGGTAAGTCCAAAACCTCTTGGAGAGGCCTATGTCCAGCAGTGGACTAGTAAAGGCTGTTGATGTGTGATGTGAAATAATAGGTCTTTACCTATGAAATTGCCGTTTTGTATGCAATAAGTGAATATACTTATTTTTTGAACTTTTTTATTTCTGTTATTCGAAGTAATCACCGATGCAATCGACGCATCTTTGCCAACGCATTGGCAGTTTATTGATGTACAGACTTTGCACCTACCGACTATTACTTTTTCCAAAATTTAGACAACTTTTTAGTGGGTAAAAAATTCAATTCCCGAGAGGCAGTACAAAATGCCTTTGAAGAGTTTGTTGCCTCCCGTCCAGCTGATTTTTACAAGAAGGGCTTATCAATAAACTGCCAATGCGTTGGCAAAGGTGCGTCGATTGCATGGGTGATTACTTCGAATAACAGAAATTAAAAAATTTGAAAAAATAAGTACTTTCACTTATTGTATACAAAACAGCAATTTCATTGGTAAAGACCTTATATATACTACTTACTCGCCCAACGTGCACAATCGCCCTTTGCACTCCAAGGATCCTATTTCCTTGACATCCTCCAGGGTTAGTTGGAAGTCAAACACGTTGAAGTTCTCAACGATACGCGACTTGGTTACAGATTTTGGAATCACGATCAGGCCGCGGTCGATGGCGTACCTGGAATATGTAAACATACTAAATACATAACTAGTTATTCCCGCGGCTCCGCCCGCCTATATGGCGATTATCGCGGTAAAAAGTAGCCTATGTTTTCCTTCAAGAATCAAAATATGTCTATACCAAATTTCATCTAAACCGGTTTAGTGGTTATTGATGTCCCATACAAACTTTCAATCCCCTTTACACCCCCTTAAAGGATGATTTATTGGATAAAATCTCTATACGAAATTTCATCTGTATCGGTTTAGCGGTTTAAGCGTGAAGAGGTAATAAACAGACAGACAGACAGATACACTTTCGCATTTATAATGACGACTGGATGGCGTAGTGGTTTGTGTAACGGACTGCTATTCCAAAGGTCGCGGGTTCGATTCCCGCTGAAGTCAAACATTTGTGTGCATGAACATTTGATGTTTGATTTGGTCTGGGTGTTTCTATGTATAATATGTATGTATTTACAAAAAAAAAGTATATATGTATTTATATCAGTTGTCTAGTACCCATAGTACAAGCTCTGCTTAGTTTGGGACTAGATGGCGTTGTGTGTATGTGGTAAAAAAAAAAAAAAAAATAAGTATGGATTATGGATGTCCGTGATATAGTGATGGATTAAAAAGACGGAGTGTCACCACCCCTATTCATCCCGTGAGTGTCGTAAGAGACGACTAAGGGAGCAAACTACGCAAGACAGCAGCATTGCAAAGAGAAGGAAAACTTGACACAAACCCTATACCAACCCGTATGGCCAGCGTGGTATAGTAGGCCAAAATCTCCTTTCTAAAGAGAGGCCTATGTCCAGCAGTGGACTATTAAAGGCTGTTGATTACATACTTGTACGATCTATAACAAAGAGGAATTGGACAAAATGTAAATAAAATTATATGTTATGTAACAGAGTAGAACCAAGTCACGATAACTTTACAGAATGAAAAAAACGCCCCGCATTAGGAATATATCTTGTGTCGCGGGGGACTTTACAAACATACATGAAACGTACACAAAGAACACCCAGACTCAGAACAACAATTTGTGGATCACACAAAGTGTCGTCCCATGTGGGACGTCCCACAACACTCGGCGTAGTAGGAAGCGGCGTGGCGAACGCTTAAACCACTACGCCATCCGTGCAGTTTTATTAACCTGTATTTATCGAAATACCAGAACACGAAAAGCTCAAAGTATGCCTCGATGGTGCAGTGGTAGCGTATGCGACTGCTGTGCTGAGGTCTAGAGTTCGATGCCCGGGTCGGACCAAATGTTTGTATAATCTGCAAATATTTGTTTCGGAACTTGGGTGTTTTCTATTGAGTTCTACGATTATTATTTATTAATAATAATATTTTCGGACATCTGACACATAACGCTATCTAGTTTCAAATTTAGCAGAGCATGTACTATAAAAGCTAGATTGACTGATTTGGTCCAACCCGGTCATCGAAACCGAGACCACAGCAGTCGCATACGCCACTGCACTTCCGAGGCAGTCGACAATATGTGCTATAAAGTTAAAAATTATATTAAAACAATTTTATAAACCCATTTTAATCCAGAAAATATTTGAGCTGTCATTGTATACAATATACTCGAGCGGGAGGGACTCCAAGGTCAGCAACGCACTTGTGACTTTTGAGTTGCTTACCATCAGGTGACCCGTCTTCTCGTTTGCCGTCTTATACCATAAAAAAAGTTTATATAATGACAGATCAAAATATACTGGTCAATAAATAAAACAAAACATATCTATTTTTCTTTCTCTTTCAATCCAATAAACATTTCTCTGACCTAATCAACACTTGAGCAACACTCTTCCCATACTTTTCAGCAATGGACTTAATTTTTGGTTCTTCTAGAAGATTAGGGTCGCCAGGCTTGGCCCAGGGTCTGTCCAAAGAGCCCAGGGGTGAGTATGCCGTTACAGCTATGTCATGAGTCCTGCAGTAGTCGATCAAAAGCTGCTGGTTTAAATACGGATGGACTTCGATCTGAAAAGAGGTTTTATTTTATTTTATTTCATAAACAATTTACATTGCGTTTGAAATTTTTCATAAAATGTAAACCATAATAATAAAAGCCGGTCAGGTACGAGTCGAACTCGTGCGCCAAGGGTTCCGTACCTACCCAGATTTTACGTGGATTTTCGCGAAAATTTCTAAGTACCAAAATTTATCTTAATTTTCAACTTTTTTATTTTTTGGAATTATTCCTTTATATGTGCTATAAGGCTTTTCTTTTTGTCAAATTTCGTGATTCTAGGTCAACGGGAACTCCCAAAACCTATAGGGTACCTCCGGTTGACCTAGAATTGTCAATTTTGGTAAAAAGCAAGGTCTTACAGCACAAGTAAAGAGAAAATTCTGAACAATAAATAAAAGTTGAAAATTAAGGTAAATTGGTACTTACAAGTTTTCGGGAAAATCGAAATTTTCCCATATCTTTTTATCCTCCCGTACCTGACCGTGATTTTCATACACCTACTAGGGACCATATACCTCAGTATCTGGTATAAATTTCAACTTGCTAGGTCTACCCGTTCTGGTGAAAATCGGTGGTGACACACGGACAGACGGACAGACGGACAAGAAAGTGATCTTATAAGGGTTCCTTTTTTACCTTTTGAGGTACGGAACCCTAAAAACAATAGCATTCAATGGAAAATCACAAAATTCGCGTATACACATACTACAATTTATAACACATAATGCTATTTAATGAATTAAACTTGTGGGAATTAATTTTTTCATCACAAAACCCCTCGACGCCCCTTTGTCATTTGCTATATAAGTCATCTATACAAAGACATTTGAAACTTGACATTTTAAACTTTCGCGTTCCATGATAATTAATATTATTTTAACGGGAATTAACGCGCCGTGGTCACAGGCTGACCGAGTCAGCCTGTGACCACGGCCGGTGCAACCTGGTCGAAACTTCAGGCAAACCAGAGGTATGTAGTACCCTAAATAAGAGATCGCGTTAATTCCCGTTAAAATAATATTAATAGTCTATTAAATAACTCAACTGATTGATACATTGCATTGATACATTTTGTATCACTAGGAATCCTCGAAAGTTTAAATTAAATAATATATTTCAATGTCGGATAGCCCATTTTTATTTATCGAGGTTACAGGCTAGATACGATTACGCTTCGACCAATCCGCGCCAAGCACCAATGAATAATGTTCCAAAAACCGGAAATTTTTGTCACCATTTCTAACTCAAAAACGGTTGGTATGATGATAAATATTTATTTATTTATTTATTAGGTTAACTCACAGCACATATATGTAACATTAATGGTAAAATCTCAGTAATAAGGTTCTGATATACATGCCACTTACGAGCTAACACAGAATTCACAGTTTAGACAACATATTAACAAAATCACATTGATATATAGATATTAGAAACTGAACTTAACTCTATTGGTCTGGTGAGTTTAGTGGTTGCAGTAAATAATTTCTTAACTATGATTAAACTACGCGCAACTGAATAAAGTGTTAACAGACACAAGGACCGAAATCAAAATAGGGATCCTATCAGGGATTTTGCTTTTGGAGGAACGCTATCAAAAGCAAAAGATTTTTTTACGGTAATGGAGGGTGACCTGATGTTTACTGACTTCCGTCGCCTATAGGTGACTCAAGTGATACAAGTGGGTTCCCGCCCCAGCCCCCCTCTTCTCAGAATTATGGAATACATGCTGAAAAGTAACAAAAAAATTTGCTTAAAACCGACTGAGTATGGAATATATGACTGCCTCGGTGGCGCAGTGGTAGTGTATGCGACTGCTGTTCTGACGTCTCGGGTTCGTATGGCCTGCAAATAGTTATTTCGGAGTTTGAATGTTTTATATATATATAATATGTATGTGTTTAAAAAAAAACGACGGGTTCCACTCCGGGAGTGCCGGCAGAAGTGAAAACTTGAATATTGGAACTTGAACTTAATAATGGTTAGGGAATAATTTTGCACGAATTGCTTTAATTATCAGTACAAAAGGAAGTACTACCATTTATGTGGTAGAATACTATATTTATTTATTGCGCTATCGTACACAACCATGACAATTTATCCAGACGCTGTCACCATCCATGGATGCGCGTGGCAACATAAACACACACGAACATTCGCGCAAGCGTCCTGCGCGCCTAAACGAAACAGCAGGCGCAGGCATACATTTTCGCCGCGCCGTAGAAAGAGAGGGGGATACTTCCCCTCCTACTCTCCGAAAATTCGTAAGACGGATGTCTTACGAATTTTCGATCAGGGTCACGTGTCCTGACGCGAGTTTAACATTTTTTACCCATTACAAAAAAAGTGTATAACGCCGCTAAAGAAGTTTTCACTTCAAAAATATAAAAGTATTTAGTCATTCTAGCTTTTATAGTACAAGCTCTGCTTAGTTTGAAACTAGATGGCGTTGTGTGTTAGATGTCTGAAATATTATTATATACAGCCGAATCGTTTTGATGATTAAAAGAGTTATCTGGACAACAAAAGCATATCTAGAAACAGACCTGAAGCATAGCTGGCTTGATCTTTGCAGCTTCCAATAGCCGGTCCATTTGTTTCTTGTTAAAGTTCGAAACACCGATGCTTCTGGTCAAACCCTTCTCAACCAAGGTCTCCATAGTCTTCCAGGTGTCTACGTAATCCACGTTGGAGACTATTAATTTGCCATCAGCGTCTGTGGGAATGAGGTCATCTTCTTCCTGTAAATAAATTTTTAATTTTAGCTTTACCACGGATTAAGAATACAGAGTGTCACCACCCCTATTCTTCCCGTGTGTGTCGTAAGAGCCGACTAAGGGAGCAAACTACGTAGGACAACAGCACTGCAAAGAGAAGGAAGAATTGACAACCCGTCTGGCCGGCGTGGTATATAGGCCAAAACCTCCTTTCTAAGGAGAGGCCTATGTCCAGCAGTGGAGCAGTGGGCCTTTAATAGTCCACTGCTGGACATAAGCCTCTCCTTAGAAAGGAGGTTTTGGCCTACTATACCACGCTGGCCAGACGGGTTGGTATAGGGTTTGTGTCAAGTTTTCCTTCTCTGTGCAGTGTTGTTGTTCTGCGTAGTTTTTTCCCTTAGTTGACTCTTACAACACCCACGGGATGAATAGGGGTGGTGACAATCTGTATTCTTAATCCGTCACCACACTATACACAATCGATGAATTATATTTTATAACTAGCTGAGACCCGCGTTTTACCCGCGTTTGTAGTTATAACCGCGGGCAACGCCGCGGTTCGAAGCTAGTCTAAAAAAAGTAGCCTAAGTTACTCCTTATGTCATCAGCTATCTGCCAGTGAAAGTCCCGTCGAAATCGGTCGTTCCAGAGATTACCCAGAACAAACAGACAGACAGACAAAAATTCTACAAAATGTTATTTTCGGTTTAAAGAATTTATTTCTCATACAAACATACAGTCCATTTATAATATATATATATATAATTTTGGCATATGTTCCGTGTAAACATACATACGCATTTAGTAAAAAGCGGTTATTTTAATATTACAAACAGACACTCCAATTTTATTTATTTGTATAGATATAGGATAGATAGATAGTAAAAAATGTCATCATTGATCAGCAACAATTTCAATAACATTTTGTTTTTAATTTAGTGTGAGCGAGAGCGAAAATATCCAAACTCGTAACATGTGAGTTGTACGTGGCCAATAATCAATAATATTCTATTAATATCATTTATCGGAGTGTAATTTATCTATAATATGTATGTGTTTAGATATATATATGTGCCTAGTTGAGGGCAACAAGATTGCCACATAATGTAACCATCGGTAAAAGACGTTTTAAAACGCCTCTGTTCACCCACATTGGCGATAAATAGTCGTCACTTTATACTCGAAACGACTATTAACAAAATGTTACAATAAAAACACACACATGAGGGGTACTCAAAACTTTATACCGTCAGACACAAATACGAATTTCAAAATTCCGATTTTCATCATTTAGAATAATTCAAAATATCAAATAATTCCTATTTATCATTTATCCTATTTTCATAATTCAAGGATTTCAAAATTCCTAACGTTTATAATTACTATGCTCAAAATGACAAGTTTTAATAGATCGAATAACAAAAAGTCCGACTTAATGGTAATTCGCAACATCAAAAACGCGAATAAAAATATTTTCACAGTTCTAACCTAACCTAACCGGCTGTTGCCGCGGCACGCTCGCTCTCCTTTACGCTTTAATCGTCATAATTCTTACCTAGCCGAAATTATTCACCAACAATAGATGCTACCAGATGCAGGTAAATTTAAGGAGAAAAAGAAAACAAAAAGAAATGAGTAATTCACAAATATTAATAACAAATCAGACGTTTTTAAATAACATTAAACGTTACTCATACATTTCGAATATATATGCGTAACTGAATCAGAATTCTAATTTTAGCAGTTTATTCGAAGTACTAAAAATCGGAATGTCGTTTTTCGGACCGAGAACATTTCGAGCATTTGATTTTTCGTACATATCAAAATAGGAAGACTTACGGTAAAATACATTTCGTGAATTTTAATAATAGAATAGACATGATTCGGATTTTTGAAAATCGGAACATTGAAATTCGGAATAAAATATTTCGGAGTATTTGGGTGCTCCCATGTATGAGATCCTTACCTTAAAGGCTTGAGGCCAATGCATCAGAAATAGATCCAAGTATCCCAGGCCAAGGTTCTCGAGCGTGACCTTGATGGCTCCTTCCACCAGGTCAGGACGATGGAACGTGCACCAAAGCTTTGACGTGATGAACATGTCTTCCCTAGAATAGTTCATATTGACACCATAAAGATAAGTAAAAAGAAGCTGTTGAAGAACTAATGGCCGAGCAAGGATCATCTGATGTTAAGTAACTACTGGAGAACTCAAAAGATTTAGGTGCGTTGCAAGTCTTTGGTGCCTTCCCTCTTCCAGAATTAGGGAAGGAGACTAAGTCTTCATAAAATATAAGGCTACCAAGAAGCTCTTTAGTTTCTGCGTTATTTTTGGCTTCTCTTACCTTCTCTTTTATAGTAATAATATTTCCACACATCTCACACACGGCCGTCTAATCCCAAACTAGGCAGATCCTGTGCTATCAACCAGACTGCTAATAAACATACTTATATATTTCTAAATATATACATATTATAGATAAAGTACACCCAGACACAGAACAAATGTCCGTGCTCATCACACAATTATTTATTTATTCCTAGGTGGGAATCGAACCCACGACCTCTGCCGTAGCAGTCAGGGTCACTAACCACTATACCAAGACCAGCGTCTCTTTCCGTCTATTTTTTATCAAATATTTCATTGGAAAAATATCCTGTACCTTCAAACATAATGTTGCGTCATATGATTAAATGATTCGATTGTATAGAATGTGGAGGACAGCGCCATCTAGTATCGAGTAAAGTACATCTATTAAGATTGTGGTTTATAGTTCTGACCTTAAAGCGCTAGATGGCGCTGCAAGTAACGCGTGACTGATTCTGGAATATTCTTGTTTGTCTGCAACGGACTATCGAATACTAGGGTTCTTTTCGATAGCGCTATAAAAGCGGAGCATGTTGCTGGTTCGAGACAGTATCGTGTTACGACACAGCGAATTAACACCGGAGTGAATTTCTAGTGCGACTAGCGAGATATATAGTGATTTCTAGTTTATTATAGTGAGTGTTTGTAAATAAAGTGCAATAAAGTAATTTACCGACAACTTTTAATTTTCATATACCCCGCTCGTAACAGTAACAACAAACCCAACTGCGTGAAAATGTACAAACTGTGGATATTAATTTTTAAAATGTTCATATACACAATGTCACTGTTACAATTCAGACGAATCTAACGACGCCTCAAACTCCAAAAGCAACTGTTTAGACTTCGGAACGTGGCAAAGTAAAAATACCTTACATACATCTTTGAAGTCAAGGACAATACCAACAAACGTAAAAATACTCACTCGTATTTAAAATTACCAGTACCTCGCCTAGAAATTTTTAGGGTGAGCTGTGTTTACATGGCACCACTTATCTATAACGCGTTGCCGGAGAATATTGCAACTCTTCCTTATCACAGATTTTGTACTTCATTAAAAAATTGGCTAATAGCAGAGTGCTTTTACTCCGTCAATGATTTTTTTTTAAAGTACTCTACTCAGTCATATCACTTCAGAAATGCATTAGTGTAGTAATTATTTTTAATATTATTTTTGATATTTCAATTGCAACGTAATGTTATTTTATTTTTATTTTATTTCATAATTTTACCTGTACAATTTTAAAAATTTGCATGCTATCTAAATATAGCGAAATGTGTCTTTTGCCTTAAACATTGTAAACCACCTACTGTGACTACCACATTTTCTGCAAATAAATATATTATTCTTATTATTACACTCGAAAACCGTGACCATGTGGTGACGGATTAAGAATACGGAGTGCCACCACCCCTATTCATCCCGCGGGCAAACTACTCAGAAAAACAGCACCGCAAAGAGAATGAAAACTTGACGAAAACCCTATACCAACCCGTCTGGCCAGCGCGGTATAGTAGGCCAAAACCTCCATTCTAAGAAGAGGCCTATGTCCAGCAGTGGACTATTAAAGGCTGTTGATGATGACTCGAAAACAATTAACTCTCCTAACGCAGTCAGTTAAAAAGCCAGGGTAGATGGTTAACATGATTCTAATACTTCCCAAAACGGACGTGACGACCGGGTAGCTTAGTTGTTTGTGTAACGGACTGCTATTCCAAAAGGGGTACTATTCCCATTCAATTCAAACATTTGTATGCATGAACATTTAATGTTTGATTTGGTCTGGGTGTTTGTATGTTATTAACCGCAGAATCGATAACCGTTGGGGAAAACGAGTTCTTGAGTGGAGACCGCGTCTCGGCAAACGTAGTGTAGGACGCCCACAGGCCAGGTGGAGTGACGATTTGCGCAAGATGGCTGGCAGGAGCTGGATGCGAGAAGCCCAAAATCGATCTAAGTGGCGTGCAATAGGAGAGGCCTATGTCCAGCAGTGGACTGCGATAGGCTGATGATGTTTGTATGTATAATAATTATGTATTTACAAGTATAAATGTATATATATCAGTTGTCTAGTAGCCATAGTACAAGCTCTGCATAGTTTGAGACTAGATGGCGTTGTGTGAATGTGTAAACAGCGTTTCTATTCATATATTTTTTATCACAGTCTAATCTTAAGATAATCGTGGTCTAATTAGGTTTAGTTTATAGGCCATTGTTTTTTAACAAGATTTACAAAACGCGCTGATAAGAGATGTTTGGAAAAAATATTGCATGATATGAATTTAATTTACAAATGGAGTGAGGGTTCTATGGACCTCGGGTCGGTTCAAAGTTCCTTTTGCTTTTTGGCACGGTTTTTTTTTTCAAAAAAAGACAACTCCCGCATTAGGAATACATCCTGTGTCGCGGGGGATTGTACAAACATACATGAAACGGACACAAGGAACACCCAGACTCAGAACAACAATTTGTGGATCACACAAAGGGTCGTCCCATATGGGGTTTGAATCCACAAACCTCGGCGCAGTAGGAAGCGGCGTGGCGACCGCTTAAACCACTACGCCATCCGTGCAGTGCGTCCTGTTGATACTACAGGACATATTTATATGCAATATAGGAGTATATAATTATATAGGCCTTCTCCCTTCCTGGCGGCCGTTGCCACCCGGGGCGGAGTTACGACGCGACGGGCAACGCGGCGACGGCCGCCTTGCCCCGCATTTTAAACCTCTAATATCTTCTAAAACGTTCATTTTAATGATATGCTGTACAAAGCAATTTTAATCTACATTAAATGTATTAAAGTATTTAATTAGATAAGGAATAATAATGTATTGTTTAGAATAGCTTCGTAAATAACCCATTTTTTTTTTGTAATATTTAAAAGATAAAAATGGTTACTGGGGTTTAACTTAAGAGTTAGACGTATACTATCGCCGACTTTTTGTAGATCTTTTTAAGATATGCAATTCCGTAGTACATTATTTTGGTCTATCTTGTAAGATTTAGCCAGTGTTTGCAATGTAAGCGTACAAAAACGTGTTTTTTATGACTAATCTTTAAAATTTTCTGTTTTTCTGGACTATAATCTGCATGTAATTTACATAAAAACCTACCTCTTGAATCGCTCCCTCTATTGGTGAAAACCGCATTAAAATTCGTTGCTTAGTTTAAAAAATCTCAGGGTACTATAGCAAGAAGTGTCGGTGTCGTTTTGTTCTTTTTTAACGCTTAAATACACGTAATGATGCAACGATTTCCATGTGGTGACGGTTTAAAAATACGGAGTGTCACCACCCCTATTCATCCCGTGGGTGTCGTAAGAGCCGAATAAGGCAGCAAACTTCGCAGGACAACAGCACTGCAAAGAGAAGGAAAACTTGAAACAAACCCTATACCAACCCGTCTGGCCAGCGTGGTATAGTAGGCCTCATTTCTTAGAAGAGCCTTATGTCCAGCAGTGGACTAGTAAGGACTGTTGATGATGAAAAAAACTAATTAGAATTGTGGTCAATATAGAGGACACCGATAGCTGTAAACCATACTTTAGAGAACACAACATTCTAACACTGCCATCAATTTTATATTTTGGAAATATGTAAATCGTACGAAAAAATCAACATCTATTTACAAAAAGAGAGGATCAACAAAAAACTACACACTACGCCATAGGACTAGACTAAACCTACCCTCATCCCGACTCCAAATTTCTTCAAATAGCACTCAAGTAATGTCTATCAAAATTTACAATAAATTACCCGAAGAAATTAGAAATGAAACCATATTAAATATATATAAATAAATTAAAACAGTTACTACTACAAAAATGCTATTACAGCATCAATGAATACCTGAGCAATCAATAAATTAAGCATGTACATAAAAAACTGAAGTATAATTATTATTGTTAGTTTATATTATCTCTCCCTCTCTCATCTATTGCTGTGCCCGACAGCGTCCATGATGATCTAATCTTATATTTGAGGACCATCTAAGTGAACATTGTGGAATGCAATAAATATATTGAGTATTGAGTATTGATGATTGTTAAAAAAGCCTCTCTTCCCTGTATTCTGCAAAGGATTGTATAGTTTTACCTCTTTACGTTCCCCTCCTCAAACTTCGCCTTCAATGCTTTTCCGATCTCCTTCTCGTTCAAGTATACATGTGCACAGTCGATGTGTCGGTATCCAGCATCAATAGCATCCTTAACTGCTTGTTCCACTTGCCCTGGTTCAGACTGGGGATTAAGAAATGATTATTTATTTAAAACTGTCCGTGTGGTGACGGATTAGGAATACGGAGTGTCACCACCCCTATTCATCGGGTGTCGTAAGAGTCGAATAAGAGAGCATACTGCGCCGGACAACAGCACCGCAAAGAGAAGGAAAACTTGACACAAACTCTATACCAACCCGTCTGGCCAGCGTGGTATAGTAGGCCAAAACCTCCTTTCTAAGGAGAGGCCTATGTTCAGCTGTGGACTATTAGAGGCTGTTGATAAAGCTTTAAAGCTATCTTTTCCCCGCTTCGCACATGAAGAAATAATAGTCTTCCTTTATCTCTGTTCCGTGTACTGTATTGTGTATTTATTTAACAAACTTGGAAGATTACAGTAAAAATTATAAAAATGTGTCAGCCAATGATAAGTCTCCACTTATAGACAATATTTTAAGTAAGTATATAAATGGACAGACAAGGTATCCATTGCTTACGCTTGCTTAATCATAATACATATTACAGTGAAATTAGTATATTATGTAGTGGTGTGTATATTACTCAGATCTTAGAGCGCGTTTCCACTATATCGTTCTGGCCTATACAAAAATGTTTCGATATCCTAACATTACTATTTAATTTTATACTTATCCCTAGCAACACTCTGATTTTTGTTTTCAATAAAAACAAGTTTTTATTTTAAAGAAAAAGGTTTTGACTTTATAAAAAAAAAGGTGTGTGTGCGATTCACACACGATAGAAGTGAAACTTCAAAGTGGAGAGACCGATATTTTAATTTTTTTTTTTCCTTTCATCTAGGTTTTTAAAACTCCGGGTGGTCTACGGGGGGGTCAAAATTTTTGTTATTTTTGGCCTAGGACGCACCGTTTCCGAGATATTTCAATCTAAAGCAAAAAATCGTCACTTGATAGTGGAAAGTGGAAACACGCACAAAACCAGAATAAACCAGTTTACGCTGTCCGCAGGTGCAACGTGCAGTCCGGCGACCATACACTACTACAAACGCAAAAATTTCTCCAAGCTAATTTACCTGTAAAATTGTATCCAATCAGCCGTTTGGGCGAGATTGAGTAACTGACATCCATTGTGGACAATCTACACATAATGAAATTACTTGAACTGATAGACTGATGCAAAAACGAAGAGCTTAAACAGTTTTTGAAGTGAAAACTTCTTTAGCGGCGTTGTACACTTTTTTGTAATGGGTAAAAATGTTAAACTCGCGTCAGGACACGTGACCTGATCGAAAATTCGTAAGACGGATGGAGAGTAGACAGTCGGCGCGGCGTAGGAGAGGAAGTATCCCCCTCTCTTTCTACGGCGCGGCGAAAATGTATGCCTGCGCCTGGTGTTTCGTTTAGGCGGCGGAAGGCGCTTGCACGAATGTTCGTTTTTCTGAGAGATAAACTTTTTAATGTAATATAAATTGTCATGTACGTATACGATAGCGCAATAAATAAATATTGTATTCTACCACATAAATGATAGTATACTGATAATTAAAGCAATTCGTGCAAAATTATAACCATTCCAGAATATCAAAAATGCACAACGTTAATATTCAAGTTTTTACTTCTGCCGGCACTCCCGGAGTGCAACCCGTCGTTTGTTTTTTAATGGAATAGGGGGCAAACGAGCAGATGGGTCACCTGATGGAAAGCGACTACCGCCGCCCATGAACGCCTGCAACTCAGGAGTCACAAGCGCGTTGCCGGCCTTTGAGGAAGGTGGGTCTACAAACTTGTCATTTTAGCAGCTGATGCTTTTTATATAATTAATTAATATAGAAACTTTACCCCTAATGGGGTAAAATAATCGATAAATGGTTGTATGGAAATTGGTAATTTTCAAAATTAAGAAATAATATTCCGAACGAAACCGCGGGCAATAGCTGGTATTAGTATTGATCCAGGAGTCCACAGGTGACTTGACGGAGGTCTACGTTGGCGTGACAAAAAATTGGGGGGTCCACAATTCGTAAAGGGGGGTCCACGAAAATTTATCTGCTTTCGATAGTGAAGAACTAAACTGTTATAAAATACGCGTTTGTTTGCACAATTGTGAGATAAAAATGATGAAGACTTCCAACGATTGCTCTTACATAATGAAGTACGTTGGTTGTCGAAAGGTGTACGTTTAACAAAGATTTTACTCACTTTTTGAATCAGTTTTAGAGTTTTTGTAAAGTAAAGATCTAGATTTAAAAGACAACCTGATCAATTTGTAAGCAGACATCGCGTATTTGACAGATTTGTTTAAAAAAATTAATGAAATTAACTTTACAAGGGGATAGTCTCAATTTAATAAAAACATAGCGTGTGATTTCGGCTTTCTTTGGAAAATTGAAATTTTTGAAGCAAAATATTAGTCGGCGCGAATTTTTCCAGTTTTTAAACTTGCCACAGGTAGAATGCTTTGATGAGGATATTCAGACATACGTTCAACATTGAACCTGCATGATGACTTCAAAATCAGATTTGAAGATATTCTGACGATGGAAATACCACCATGGATCATAAATCCATTTGAAGATACAGAAGTGGAGAATGTGATATTACAAGAGGAGCGACTCGAGTTTAGCAATAATGAGGAGCTGAAGATGAAATATAAAGGAAGAAGAAGTTTGATACCCAAACATTTTAGCTGCAGGCAGAAATATCCTGTATTTGGGGACATTTTTTTTCTTTATTTACGGAGCTTAGCCACAATGATGACTACGTCGCTCCATCATAGCTATTTTTTGTTTTAAACTTAACTTAAATATTCAAAATACAAAGTATAAATATCTTTAGCTGTATCTGTCAAAGGACTGGCCAGGCTGCTGTTACATCTTCCAATGTCCATCAGCTTATCATTAAGCAGGCGTTCTCTCAGTTGTTGGTTCCGAACAAATTCCATCAAAACATGTTCTACGTACATGTGGGGAATTGCGAGAAAGCTTTTGATAGCGTTTCAAAAAAGTTTTAAACTTTTAACAAAAAAAAAAACAGAGTAGATTGAATATCACGGAACGGGGAGATTTGCGGTTATCTTTATATATATAATTCTTCTGTGAGTGTGTATGTCACTGAACTTCTCTCAAACGACTGGACCGATTTTGATGAAATTTTTTGTGTGTGTTCGAGGGGATCTGGGAATGGTTTAGATTCACAATTTTGAATGGTAAGGGTGACCCATCCCTAATTTTTTTTTTGTTGCAATACAACGTTTGCCGGATCAGCTGGTTCCTAATAAAACTGAAGCCAAATATTTATAATTTGCTGTCAATCCATCAAGTACATTCTTCCCGCACTGACACCACATTACTAGTATTAGTAGTATCTATATTGCACCCGTGCGAAGCCGGGGCGGATCGCTAGTAGTATAATACCAACATTTTAAAATATCAGTTTTTTTTATTAAATAAAATTATTCTAATTCTCATGACTTTTAAATTTAAACCTTCACCAAAATCAAATATTGATTTAAGTTCAAACTCAAACGCTCTTTATTTCATAACTTTTAAAATTACTTTTAAAATTAAAGTTGAACTTTTAAAATTGTTTGAAATCGTCTTTTATGTAAACACGATTTCAAACAATTTTAAAAGTTCTATGAAATAAAACATCAGCTACCTAAATGTATGACTCTAAAGTCATAGATCAACACACACAAAAGCAACAATATCTGTTTTGTCAAATAGTAAGCAAATCTATACTAATATTATAAAGCTGAAGAGTTTGTTTGTTTGTTTGAACGCGCTAATCTCAGGAACTACTGGTCCGATTTGAAAAATTCTTTCAGTGTTAGATAGTCCATTTATCGAGGAAGGCTATAGGCTATATATCATCACGCTAAGACCAATAGGAGCGGAGCACCAATGAAGAATGTTTAAAAAACGGAGAAAATTTATTACTATTGAGAGACGCAGACGAAGTTGCGCGGGTCAGCTAGTAAATTTAATAAAAATCAAATCCATACAAAATCTATGATATGCCTGTGCCGATCTACAACCGCCCGTTTCCGAAGGGGTTGAGCCTTATGAGAAGAAAGGGCAAACAAACTCATGGCCACTTTTTTGCAATTCACAGGTAGATACATGTGTGTATCAGTAGTCTATTTAGTATACTACTGGCTCTGTCTAGTTTGGGATCAGACGGACGCGTGTTAGATGGGGCCCTGTCTACCAGGGACTTCCTTTCTAGGGTATACCTGGTTCCCCGGCTATTAGTACCCGAGACGGCGTGCGGTTTTAGTCGGTTCGAGTCCGAGGTGGTATCCGAGGGGATTTCCGCACGAAAAAAAAAAAAAAAAAAAGATGGGACCCTTTCTAGTTCCTCGTTTAATACACTTAACTTGCTGGTACCTTCTGGTAGACTTCATTCGCGTAGAATTTAAAAAGCGCTGCCTTAGTGGTTTAGTACGCGACTGCAGTCAAAAGGCCTCGGGTTCGATTTCCGGACTGTCCAAATTTTAATAGGGTTTCTATTAGAAAATAAAACAACAGGTTGCTAACGATGGCTTATAGAGAACTAAACTTTATTTCAAGAGTTAAACGATTACCTACATAAAGCGATCACACATTGCACTCGATAGATGGCGTTACTGGTTTCATTTGATGTAACTATTAATTTTAACAGTTTCTCTGAGAGGAAAAATAGCCTAAATTACTGGTAGTACAAAAAAACAGACAGACAGACAAAAAATATTTACTCGTAAACTGGTTTTTAGGCATAGGTAATCGTGCAAATAACCATGTGAGCATGAAAAAACCTATTATTTGACATTACAAACGGACACTTTAATTTTATTTGTATAGATAAATAATAGTTTATAGATTTTTCTTTTTTTTTATATAAAACATACAGAAACTAACAATAGTATGTTTACAGTAGATACACAGCATTTATAAGTTCTAAACTTCCGGTGACCCGCCTAAACGCTTGCCCACTTTATCATAAAAATACAAAAGTATTGGTCTTGGAGGTTATCCGGGGAAAGAGAGACCATAAATTATCTGCATTTTAAAAACTAAACATGTGGATAAATTACACGCGTACCTATTCATTTTGTTCAGCGAGCTATGAATTTTTTATTACTTAATGCGGGGTTTCTTTTAAAATAGACTGGTATGTATATTTGATTAGATATCGATCCAGCCGTCGAGGCTAGGCTTTAGGTCGTACACTAGAATCTAACTTTTTATGGAAACGTAAGTAGCTACTTATTAAAAGATTGCGCACTAAGCACTCTCTCTCTCTCTCTTTTATATGATTTTTCTGAGAGGAAAAATAGCACAGTTACTCTTTGTATAGACAGCTACCTGGTACTAAAATACTATCAAAATCGGTCCAGCCGTTTTGAAGATTACCCGGAAGATTGATCGCGAAAATCGCTGAGGACATCGGTGAGTTAAATTATAATACCCACTTAAAAATCAAACCTTTACGTAAAAAGTGATTTACAGTTTTCCATTTGATCTCCTCGTACGAAATTGCAATATTCGCAAATAATATTAAAATTAGCAATTAATTTAATTAAATCTAATTTCCATTAACGCCCATTACTTTAGTTAGGTTAGTGACCCTGACTGCTAAGTTCCGTATAAATGTGTTTATTGCAATTGACATGGATTTAGTGTTAGGTAGGTACCTAAGTAAATATTAGGCGGAGGACGGAGGTCGCAAAACGACCTCCGTCCTCCGCCTGGGGGTGACAGGTGAGGCCATCTGCCAAGCGAGAAGGGAAGAGGGTACCAGAGGAGTGAAATAATAGGGGTTAAAGTATGAAATTGCCGTTGTATAGTAATAGATACTTTGAATTGACATAAAACCTTCATGGTGTCAGATTTTCGTGTGATTTTTTTACCTGATTCATATGAGGTTCTTCTTTAAAAAATATATTCAACATTCGATTTTTAACTTTAAATTGTTTTTTTAATTAGCTTAGACGTGAAAGATGGATACATCGAAAATCCGAGTCACTTTTGAATACAAGTTCCGAGTTTTGGTTTAAACGCTTTCGTATCGGAAACTTCGACTTAAAAAACGAATCACTTGGAAGACACAGGTGAATAACGTTGAATTAAAGATGGTGGAAACCGATCCGAATCAAACTACCTATGAATTGTATGTTTTAACGCTATCCTACTTACAATATTGGCTAATTTTTTAACATATCAATAAGATAAAAAAATATGAAAAATAGGTGCCTCATGATTCGACTGATCTCTGGAAAGAAATGCGTGTTGAAACTTGTGTTGCCTTGAATCGATACAGACAATATTGGATCGAATTGTGACATGTGACGAAAAGTGGATTGCTTACTATAAACGTAAACGAAAAATGCAATGGCTGACCCCAGGTCAAACGCCGCAACAGTGCCCTAAAGGAAAAACTTACCAATAAAAAGGTAATGGTAACTATTTGGTGGCCTCTTCATGGTGTTATTGACTATAGCTTTCCCAGGTCTGGTCAGGGAATAACGGAAGATGTTTACTGTGCCGAACTTAAGACAATGATGGCGAAACTAGCAGTGAAACAGCTCCGACTCGTGAATCGATCTTCACCATTATTGCTCCATGATAACGCAAGACCTCACACTGCACGAGAAACCGTTGTAACTACAGGAGCTGCAGTTAGGAACCATGTCATCCTCCGTACTCGCCAGACCTGGCTCCAACGGACTACCATTTTTTTCGTGGTTTGGACAATTTTCTACGTCATAAAAATCGAAATCCCAAGAGTTCTATATTAAAGGCATAAATGAATTTCCGTTTAATAATTCCGGCAACAATGTACTTATAGGTAACTAGCTTGTGCCCGCGAATTTAAATTGTTCCGTGGAATCTGAAAAGCCCTGCCATAGTGGGTTCGATTCCCGGATCGGTCTAAATTTTATAGGGTTTTTCTTAGAGAAAAAATAGCCTAAGTTATTCCTTATATAGACAGCTACTTGGTAGTAAAATATTATCTAAATCGGTCCAGCCGTTTTGAAGATTACCCGGAACAAACAGACAGACAGCTGGACAAAAAATATTTAAACTGGTTTTTAGGCATAGGTATCGTGCAAATAAGCGTGTGAATTATTATTCTACACCGATTAACTCAAATTTTATCCGTTCCGTACCTCAAAAGGTAAAAAAGAAACCCTTATAAGATCACTTTCTTGTCCGTCTGTTAGTGTGTCAGCACCGATTTTCTCAGTAACGGATAGACCTAGCAAGTTGAAATTTATACCAGATACTAAGGTCTATGGTCCTTATTAGGTGTATAAAAATCAAGGTCAACACGATAAAAAGATATGGGCAAATTTCGATTTTCGCGAAAACATAAAAGTACCAAAATTTACCTTTATTTTCAACTTTTTTTTTATTTTTTCAGAATTTGCCGTGACCTTGCTTTTAACCAAAATTGTCAATTCTAGGTCCCTAACCTATAGATTTTGGGTCGTAAACTTATATGGTAGTTCCCGTTGACCTAGAAATTTGGTAAAAAGAAACGTCTTACAGCACAAATTTAGGGAATAATTCCAAAAATTTAGTACTTATATATATGTGCCTGCGTTATGCAGACGGAGCCGCGAGCAAAAAATAGTGGGTGGTATTTACGTGAAGAAAATTCTTCATCATCATCATCATCAACAGCCTTTAACAGTCCGCTGCTGGACATAGGCCTCTCCTTAGAAAGGAGGTTATGGCCTTCTATATCACGCTGGCCAGACGGGTTGGTACAGGGTTTGTGTCAAGTTTTCCTTCTCTTTGCAGTGCTGTTGTCCTGCGTAGTTTGCTCCCTTAGTCGCCTTTTACGACACCTACGGGATGAATTGGGGTGGTGACACTCTGTATTTTTAATCCGTCACCACACGCAATTTTTTCATAAACCTTTTGAAACAAATATGACGGAAGTACCTATATTACGACACTAAGACAAAAGCATAAAAGACAGAAATTAAAAACTCAGCCATTTAAAAACCAAAGTATTTAAAAATACCCCCTTAAATAAAGCTACAAACACTTAAATTAAGTTTAACTTTATATGCAGAAGGCAATAGTGCAAGACTTATCAAGGCATAAATATACGACGTTAAATGAAAAAAATAAGTTCTCTTAAACAAAAATTGTTATTAGTTATTATATTTGGAACTAGCTGACCCGCGCAACTTCGTCTGCGTCTCTCAATAGTAATAAATTTTCTCCGTTTTTGAAACATTCTTCATTGGTGCTCCGCTCCTATTGGTCTTAGCGTGATGATATATAGCCTATAGCCTTCCTCGATAAATGGGCTATCTAACATTGAAAGGATTTTTCAAATCGGACCAGTAGTTCCTGAGATTAGCGCGTTCAAACAAACAAACAAACAAACAAACTCTTCAGCTTTATAATATTAGCATAGATAATTATTTTTATATGTCGAAGAAGTGCACAAAGCCAACATAAAAATATTGTTCTTTAAAAATATTTTAAATATTTAATATTTATTTTTTCATTATTATTATTTATTATACTAATACTAGCTGACCCGCGCAACTTCGTCTGCGTCTCTCAATAGTAATAAATTTTCTCCGTTTTTAAAACATTCTTCATTGGTGCTCCGCTCCTATTGGTCTTAGCGTGATGATATATAGCCTATAGCCTTCCTCGATAAATGGGCTATCTAACATTGAAAGGATTTTTCAAATCGGACCAGTAGTTCCTGAGATTAGCGCGTTCAAACAAACAAACAAACTTCAGCTTTATAATATTAGTATAGATTATGAACGCGAAAGTCTTTCTTTCTGTCTGTCTGTCTGTCTGTCTGTTATTTAGATGAAATTTGGTATAGTAATAGTTTGAGTCACGGGAAAGTACATAGGATAGTTTTTATTACAGAAATCATTCTTTAAGGAAGTGAAAAGTGGATTGGAATGTATGGGGAATCAGTGACCGCTGAACCGATTTAGCTGAAATTTGGTACGGAGATAGTTTGATTCTTGATAGAGGATATAGGCTATTTTTTTACCGCGATAACTGATAAACACGCAGGCGGAGGCGCGCGCAAAGGCTAGTAGTTTAATAAAATAATTCTGACTCATTATTGACCAAATTTATAGAAGGTAGTTCACAATGGGCAAGTTTGAGATGCTATGTTCAACAATTTTTGTATTTAAAATGGTAAATAAATAAGTTTATATTCATATGTTATTGGTATAAAAGTATTTAATGACAGTACGTAAAAGCTATACTGATTAATTAAATGAAACAAAACACTGAAAAGGTAACCTTTTCATAATTTTAACATAAATTTCAATGTTTTGATTTTTAAGCATCCATTTTCAGACAAATCTGCACATTCTATTAGCATTCTTAGAATTAAACAGTCACAGATTTATAAAAATCAATCCTTTTGCGATATTAGCTTTACTGGTCAACTTTTAAGTTAAATTTGTCAGTTTTAAATTATGATTTCTATATAATCTTACAATCTTATTAGCGTTTTACTATATATATATAGTATTTAAACAATTCTACTTACTTTCCAAGTGCCAAGTCCAATGACGGGAATCGTATAACCGTTGTTAAGTATCACAGGAACATTCGCGGCCATTTTGAGTTTCGTCTTTACTCGATCACGTCTGTTTCGATACTGGTCTGATGGTCTGGATATTACTGTACTCTGTGGATTAGACATGGAAATTATTGCTAATTTTTAATCATTATCATTTGATAAAATGATTGGTCACTGTCACTGTGATTTCACAGGTGAAATACACTACTTAGATTTGGTCATAGACAAAAATAAAATCTACCGTTCTTTTTTTCTTTTTAGATTTAGTCGTTTCGCGTGCGTAATAACAATTATTAGTCAGTGCTGTTGTAGATGAGTTACAGGTGTGATGATATTTTTTTAGATTCATATGATTAATAACAGATGACTGTGATTTTACCTCATACCTACTGTGAATACTAGTCACTGACTGAATGAATGAAATGAACGATTAATTAAGGTGGAGTTCCAACACATAAATGTGTTTATTGCAATTGACATGGATTTAGTGTTAGGTAGGTAAGTACGTATACTAATATAACAAATGGGTCTAATACCTACCTATAATCAAAATTATAAGTATTTAATACATTATTTATCAAAATATATAAGTTGAGGGTACTCCTTCCTCAAAGCGGCGGTAGACTAGTGGTTAAGGCGTTGGACTTGCTATAAAGAGGTCGTGGGTTCAAATCCTGACCAGTACACTACCGACGTTAACCCACTCCTAACACAAGCAATTTAGCTTAGCGGGAGGGGTTAACGGAAATACTAGTAATTTCGGTTGCTAGTAAACCTTTTAAAAAAAAGCCCACATCGCGCTCGTGGCTCCTGAGTTGCAGGCCTTCATCACTTTCCATCAGGTGACCCGTCTGCTCGTTTTCCCTTTATATGGATCTGTTGAACCCTGACTGCTAAGCCATAGGTCATGGGTTCGATTCCCACCCAGGCCAAATATTATGTGATGAGCACGATCATTTGTTTTGTGTCTGGGTGTAATGTATCTATACAAATAAATAATCTATATAAATAAATAAAATTGGAGTGTCTGTTTGTAATATTAAAATAACCGCTTTTTACTAAATGCATATTATTATGTATGTTTACACGGTACATATGCCAAAATAACACTTTTTACAATTTTCGTCTGTCTGTTTGTTCCGGGTAATCTCTGGAACGGCTGGACCGATTTAGACGGGATTTTCACTGGCAGATAGCTGATGACATAAGGAGTAACTTAGGCTACTTTTTTAGACTAGCTTCGCCCCGCGGCGTTGCGCGTAATAAATAAAGTATATAAAAATTTCATTCGTGTTTTCTTTTTCTCAGTAATTGACAAGCGGAAGCGAACTGGTTTTATTACCTACTAGCTGAGACCCGCGGTGTTACCCGCGTTTGTTACCCGCGGGGCCAACCTAGTCTAAAAAAGTAGCCTAAGTTACTCCTTATGTCATCAGCTATCTGCCAGTGAAAGTCCCGTCGAAATCGGTCCAGCCGTTCCAGAGATTACCCGGAACAAACAGACAGACAGACAGACAAAAATTGTATAAAATGTTATTTTGGCATATGTACCGTGTAAACATACATATGCATTTAGTAAAAAGCGGTTATTTTAATATTACAAACAGACACTCCAATTTTATTTATTTGTATACACTAGCTGGTGCCCGCGACTTCGTAAATTTGAAAAATTCTGCCTCAGTGAGTTCGATTCCCTGACCCCGCAAAATTTTATAGAGGTTTTCTGAGAGAAAAAATAACCTAAGTTACTCTTTATATAGACAATTACTTGGTGGTAACATATTATCAAAATCGGTCCAGCCGTTTTGAAGATTACCCGGAACAAACAGACAGACTGACAAAAAATATTTAAATTGGTTTTCAGGCATATGTATCGTACAAATAACCGTGTGAACATGAAAAAACCTATTATTTTGACATTACAAACAGACACTTCAATTTTATTTATTTGTAAAGATGTTATATCTAATTGTATACTTAGACTAGCTGACCCGCGCAACTTCGCCTGCGACTCTCAATAGTAATAAATTTTCTCCGTTTTTGAAACATTCTTCATTGATGCTCCGCTCCTATTGGTCTTAGCGTGATGATATATAGCCTATAGCCTTCCTCGATAAATGGGCTATCTAACACTGAAAGAATTTTTCAAATCGGACCAGTAGTTCCTGAGATTAGCGCGTTCAAACAAACAAACAAACAAACTCTTCAGCTTTATAATATTAGTATAGATATTAATAACAAAAAAACCGAATCCTTCCTAATAATACTGTAACAATTATTACGCATGCAATCTTAAAAAAAAATTACAAGAGTAAAATGTATAAGAATATTTATTTATTTTATTTATTTATGACTTCATGCACAAATATGGCTGCCAGTCGACCGATTGGGCGATGCAGAGAAAGAGTGAGGTAGGTGCATTTATGGGAATAAATGATAGAATTCTTATTCAGTACTATTTGTCCTTCGAATAGACGTATATAGGCAATGATATATTATGATATTTATTTAATATATACCAGGATTAACACATTTACATATATATACATACGTACACATATACATATATACACATATATAGTCATAAATATACACACACACATAGATACATTTATAAAAATACTAGCTGACCCGGCAAACTTTGTTTTGCCATATACATTATGATGATATATAGTAGTTCCTGAGATTAGCGCGTTCAAACATACAAACAAACAAACAAACTCTTCAGCTTTATAATATTAGTATAGATTTCTAGGAAATATTAAAAAAAACGTTGTCATTTAGGGGTATGAAAAATAGATGTTGGCCGATTCTCAGACCTACCCGATATGCACACAAAATTTCATAAAAAACGGTCCAGCCGTTTCGGAGGAGTATGGTAACTAACATTGTGACACGAGAATTTTATACATAAGATTATAACTGTGGGTGATGAATTAAGAGCCCGTTGATTCTGCCAACTCACTCAGCAACAGCTCCTTTACCTTCATCTTGAAGGTGGAACGGTTTGTAACCATCCTGACTTCGACAAGAAGCGCATTCCACAGGAGGATAGACTGAACAGAGAAGGAAGAACCCACAAACCCGGTAGTGTGAGAAGGACAAAGTAGAAGGAGATTGTTAGAAAAACGAAGGTTTCTGTTATGGTTCTTGCATAATAGTTGAATTTGTTAAGTTAAATAAGTAGGAGGGGATGGGGAATTATGCAAAGTTGTGAGTGCGCGCATTTTCTGCGTTGACGAATTGGTAACCACCTAAGGTGGAAACGAAAACTGGAGACATGATCATACTTACGAAGATTAAAGATAAATCGAATGCAGTTATTGAGAAGACGAAAACGAAGTAGAATAAAAACATACTAAAGTTGTATTGTTTACACTATTCTCATTTTTCTGTTTCCGAAAACCTTAATAGTTTCGTGTATGTGTATAGGTCTAATACGGCCTCCTCTATGGATTTTGTTGCTACATTTGTTAATATTTTTTTTCAAATCAAATCAAATCAAAGTTTATTTGCTATTCATGTGGGTACGAGTACATCAAATAACAGATGGAATATTTTTTATTGAACCGTGTACATTGTGGATTATAATTAAGCATGCAAAAATCTATAAAATCAAATCTGGAATGGATAAGTACAAAGAAAAAAACAAACAATTAATATTTTAGATTTTAGATTTATTTTAACAAAAAATTAATATTTTTAGGTCCGGTCCATTATTTATTTGTATGTATTTCCCTGCTCATTGTTGAGCGCAATTTTTTATAAGTTTTATTTTAGAAAAGGACCTTTCCGAGCTTGCTACGTTAACTGACATAATTAGCAAAATTCGTAATGCTAAGGTGATGTTAGAGCATACTGATGTCGAATTGTTTAAATATAAAAAATCGAGATTTTTCTTAAAAAATACTGACATGACATAATTTATTCGCACAAATCGTCGGCGTATGATGATTGAGATGGCAACCTCGTTTTAAATTTAAACTATTGCTATCCCACGTTACATAGAAAGCGTCCCGCAAAGGGCGGAGCACACACCCCCGTCGATGGTCTCCTTGGCCGGAGACGACGGGTAGAACGTGTATTCGGGATTCGTTCCAAGACGACCGCCTGCAGGCCGGACGGGATACTGGCCCGAGTGCTGGCCCTAGCCCTAGACCACATGGCAGACCGCCTCAGGGAGGTGTTCGACGCTAGTTTGGCGTCCGGACGTTTCCCTGAGTGCTAGTAGAACGTTAAGCTGGTCCTATTGAAGAAGCCGGGACGGCCAGCCCGATTCACAGTGTTGCTTGACGAGGCAGGTAAATTGTTAAGAGGGTCTCTGCCCTGTTGTTGTCAATTCGTTACTGAGATTCGAACTGACTACCGGATAACGGGATCGACGAGACGTACGCCGTAGTAGTCTACCTTGGGAGAGGCATGCTTCAGCACGAATGGCCGGCTTGACCGGAGTGATACCACGGCCTCACAGAAAACCGGTGTGAAGCAATTCTTTCGTTGCCTTTCACTGAGTGAGTGAGGTTACCGGAGCCCAAATCCCGACTCCCGCTGACTCGAGCGAGAGGGCTGCAACGCAGTTGTGACTTTTGAGTTGCAGATGTCTATGGGCGGCGGTAGTTGCTTACCATCAGGTGACCCGTCTGCTCGTTTGCCCCTTTTATACCATAAAAAAAGCTACTCGGTCAAGCGACCGGATGACGTGTGAATTGAAGTTTTTAACTATACCGCTCACGGAAATCGGTCGCCGACCGTTGCGCTCTGCGTTGTAAACAATGGTTGAGTCATCGCTGTTTACTCGTTCGTACATTTAACTAAGAGTATTATTAATAAAGTCAGCGCAATTCAACAACTCACATATATTTTACTCACATTTGAAATATATTCAAAATAATAATAGTTTAAAAAAACTAAAAACAAAAATAGAAAATGAATTTTAATAAATTTGAAAAATAAAGCGTGGGGTGATTTTTACTATTGACAACAGGCACCCAACGCTAGTTTTTTTAAACTATTATTTTTTTAAATATTATTATTATGTT